GGCCACTCGAGCCTGCGCCGTCGCCGAACCCGAGCCGGCCTGCACGTGGAGCGCCGCGCGTGGGAGGGGGTCTGGGGCCTCCGCGCGCGTTCGGGCGGGCTGAGAGGATATCGGGGCGCCGAGGGCGGCCGCGCTGAGCTGGTCCGGGGAGAGGGACGCCGAGCCCGGATTTCAGGTGGGAGGGCGGTCGGTCGGGCCTCCAGGGCGCTGTCGGGGTGCCAAGTCGGGGCCGAGGGCCTTACGCGGAGCCTGCGCTTCCCTTCCCGCCTCGCACGGCGCGACCGTCTCCCGTGTTCCTTTTCCTTAGTGCCATGGGGCGCAAGTTGGACCCCGCCAAGGAGAAGCGCGGACCAGGCCGCAAGGCCCGGAAACAGAAGGGCGCCGAGACGGAGCTCGCCAGGTTCTTGCCTGCAGGTAAGGGTCGGGCGAGGCCCCCAGGTCCCCCCGCTTTTGCGGCATTGTGGGTTATAACCCCCTCTCATTCTTGGACTGTCCGCAAGCGGAGTCTTCCTTGTGTGAGTTGTTAGGAAATAAGTATGCCTGAAACACTGTCACGAGCGTAGAGAACGCAGGGAAGGTGCGACGGGAACAGAACTGCCCCTCCAAGGAGAGGTGCGGCTTAGCATTGTGAGAGTTTGGAGGAAGAGGGATCCCATGCAGAACTTTAGTTTTCGTTAAGCTTGGCTTTTGAAAAACGGGCAACACTTTAGCAAGAGGGAGCCTGGGAGGGGATAGGCCAGTCTAACTGTCTTCTGAAGGAATGGAGGTGGAAAAGATGCCTCTGGTTCCTGCCCGTGGAGTAGTCTACTTCACCAGAGGCTGGTGGGAGAGGAGACTGGACAGAGGGTTTGTGCTTGGATCGAAGATGCGATTTGAGATGCTAGTGAGTCCTAGGCACTGTACTGAGCCCTTTATCACATGGCACTTCATCTTAAAGGTCTGGGAGAGAGACACTGTTAAGGAAATGGATGCCGAGAGGTTAAGTAGTAACTCGCATAGTTCTTAAATGATAGAGCTGAGATGTAAACCTACTCTCTTTAGTTGGTGTACTAATTTTCTTCCACTTTTATTTCTGCTCTCACTTCGCTTTTTTATTTCCACCACAACTTATTCTACCTCCTTTTTTTTTTTAAAGTAGATGACGAAAATTCCAAGAGACTGTCTAGTCGTGCTCGAAAGAGGTAAGTGTGGGTGTCCAGACTTAAGCAGAGTAAGTTGGTACGGCTCACCCTCAGCCACGTAGGATAGGGCAACAGAGAAGGCTAATGTGGACTGTCACATTCCTCTGGTGGAAATGGCAGGGCCTGGAGTTATGTTTTCATTTCCTCACTCCTGTATTTTTTCAGGGCAGCCAAGAGGAGGTTGGGCTCTGCAGAAGCCCCTAAGACAAATAAGTCTGTTGGGGCCAAACCATTGCCTGCAAAGCTACCAAAAGGTCAGTGGATGTCGACTGGGCACTATATGAGGAGTTCTCTGGGCCCTGGGTAGGGAAGGACTTGCTGAACATTTCTGGGATGGAAGGTTCTGAGGAGTTAAAAGTACAGGCTCCAGGGGTGTGGGGCAGGGGAGCATGTGGCTGACGGTAGGAGTCTTCAAACCTGTAGGGGTCTCTGCAGGAGCTGCCCAGACACCTGGTAAGAAGGGAGCCCCATCCTTCCTGAATGCTGCTCGAGGCAAGAAGCGTCCAGCACCTAGCAGCGATGAGGAAGAGGAGGAGGAAGACTCTGAAGAAGGTGATGTAGTGAACGATGGGGAGCTCTGGGGCTCCGAGGACAGCGATGCTGACCTGGCAGATGACTATGGAGCTGACTCCACCTCTGACGATGAGGAGGAAGGGGAAGAGGTGAGAGTCATCTCTCTAGCTATTCAGATCCTTGCCATGTGGTTCCTTTCTTTCTTCCTTTTTTTTTTTTTTTTAAACAAAGTCTCACCCTATCCCAGGCAGGAGTGCAGTGGTGCCCGTGTGGCTCATCACAGCTTTGACCTCCTGGGCTCAGGCGTTCCTTCTTCCTCAGCCTCCTGATACAGGTGTGTGCCACCACGCCTGGCTAATTTTCTTGGGTTTTTTTTGGTAGAGACAAGGTCTCTCTATATTGGCCAGGCTGGTCTAGAAAACCTGAGCTCAAGAGATTCTCTTGCCTCAGCCTCCCAGAGAGCTGGGATTGATTACAGGTGTGAGCTACTGTGCCTGGCCCAGATTACCGAGGTTAGTATAAATCTGACTGGAGGAAAGGGAGTTTTATGTTCCATCACTATTTCGCTACTGCCTCATACCCTTTGTCAGCACATGTGTGAGTTTGAAAGAGCTATAGGATAGAACATTTGATAAATTTGGAATGCTCAGTACTGATGAGTGTTTGGGAAGGTAAACACTGGTGTGCCCCACTGATGGGAGTAGATGTGCAAACTTTTTTTTTCTAGATTGGAAAATATAGTTTATTTAAAAAGTAAATATGAGAGAGAGAATGAGAGAAAGGAGATTTGTCTTCCCAAGGTAGGGGAGTGGGCCAAAGCCAGGAAACATGGCGATGGCCTCAACTCAAAGAACACATGGCTACACCAGAGTCTGGCACGGCAGTGGCCTGTACTTTTTTATAAAGCAGTTATCTGAGAATTTGAAAGCTTCTTCCTTTTGACCTAGTAATTCTCTGTAGGAAGATGAGCCAAAATGTAGGTAAAGGTTTATGTACTGAGGTGCAAGAAGTTATTTACCATATGATTAGCATGTGACTATGTTAGTAGGAAACAGCTAAATGTAGACTTGTGTAGACTAAAAAGAGAAAGTCTCCATTTGTGCCCATTTCCCACAGTCCCCCTTCTATCTGCAGCCTTGTTACAATTGGGTTTGTGGGCACCATGTGACTCGTGATGTTGGAGATTCTGAACTCTTCTATCATATTCATTATGCTCAAGCAAATCATGGCTCTTGCATCTGATGAGTGAACGTTGCTCATTGTGTCTAAAATGCCTGTGACCAACTGAATTTTTAAAGAACAAGAAAAACTTGAAAAACGCATTATGATTTGAATTATGTGAAGAATCCAAAGTTAGCCTGGAAGAAAACACGGCAAAGTGGTACCCAAGGGCAATTTTTGTCCGCCTTTATGCATATGAGTGTTTATGTTTCCATTTTTTTTAATTAACGGAAAACTGAAAAACACATCAAAGTAGAAAGGACAGTATAATGAACTCTGCAGTCCATCACTTAGTTTCAGCGCCGATCAACATTGTGCCGGTCTCACATTCGTTTCTTCAGCTTCCGTATCTCCTTTTGAGAGCAAGGGTGACGCTTGTATGTGGCAAATAGTAGTAATCACAAAGTAGAACAGGTAGAAAGTCCTCCCTGTACTGGAGGCAGGGCAGGCTTGTGTCAGCAGTCCCTTGTCTCTCTCCTCAGTTGCTGCCCATCGAACGAGCGGCTCGGAAGCAGAAGGCCCGGGAAGCTGCTGCCGAGTGAGTTGTGGGAACCGTGGGGCTGCAGAGCAGGCCACAGCTGGGGCCGAGGAAGTTGTGCGGGGGGAGGACGTGTCTGTTCTGGCCTGCGAATCCCTCTGTTCCTGGGCCCGTTTCTAGGGACTGGCAGAGCGAAGAGGAGATGGAGGGGAAAGGGTTCCCCGAGTCAGGCCCCATGGAGGAAGAGGAGGCAGATGGCCTGCAGATCAACGTGGACGTGGAAGAGCCCTTTGTGCTGCCCCCTGTGGGGCAGGTGGAGCAGGATATCCTTAGACCCCAGTGAGGGGAGGAGGAAGGTACTTGGGAGGGATGCCCAGGCCCAGGCCCAGGCCGTGGTGAGACCGTTCCTTGACAGGCCCACATGCCCAGGCTCCAGACCTGCAGCGTGTTCATAAGCGGATCCAGGACATAGTGGGGATTCTGCGTGACTTCGGGACTCAGCGGGAGGAGGGCCGGTCTCGTTCTGAGTATCTGAACCGGCTTAAGAAGGATCTGGCCACTTACTACTCATATGGAGACTTCCTGCTGGGCAAGCTTGTGGACCTCTTCCCTCTGTCTGAGGTACTGGATTGCCCACCCGGTGCCTATTCTGCTGTTCGCACTTTTTTTTTTTGAGTTGGAGTCTTACTCTGTCGCCCAGGCTGGAGTACAGTGGCACAGTCACGGCCACCCCAGCGTCCCCCTGCTGGGCTCAGGCAATCCTTCCACCTCAGCCTTCCAAGTAGCTGGAACTACAGGCAGGGGCTACCATGCCCGGCTAACTTTTTTGTCTATTGTACACATGATGAGATCTCACCAAGTTGCCCAGGCTGGCCTTGAACCCATGGGCTCAGGCAATCTCCTCACCTCGGCCTCCCAAAGTGCTGGGATTACAGGCTTGAGTCACCACGCCCGCCTGTTCTCATTGTTTAGCCTGCATGAGGAAGACCTTCAGCCCCTTGCTCTCTTCATCTGACTGAGGTCCTCAGCCAGCCCGACTTACTCCCTGCTGTCTCCCCCACAGCTGGTTGAGTTCTTAGAAGCTAACGAGGTGCCGCGGCCCATCACCCTGCGGACCAACACCTTGAAAACCCGACGCCGGGACCTTGCTCAGGTGAGGGATGGCTTTGGAGGCTTGCTCATCTCAGGAAGGGGGGACCGGCTTCATCTACATCAGGGTAAACATGCTGCCTCCCAAGGAAATGGGAGAAGGGTCATTGAGAAGCTGGGGAAATTGATTTCCGACTCCAGAAAAAGACACACATGCACAATTGGTATTTTAAACTCATTTCCAAGGGTTTAGGGACCCAGGTTAAAGTCTCCTATGGTAAAGGTAAAGTCAGTGGTATGGTTGTGTGTACTGTGTTTCTCCTGACGTGAAGATGACCCGGTGGTTTGTTTTTTTTTTTTTTGAGTCGGAGTCTCACTCTGTCGCCTAGGCTCACAGCCACCGCAGCCTCAACCTCTTGGGCTCAGGTGATCCTTCCATCTCAACCTTCCAAGTAGCTGGAACCACAGGCGTGTGCCACCACACCCAGCTAATTCTAAATTTATTGTAGAGATGAGGTCTCACCAAGTTGCCTAGGCTGGTCTTGAACCCATGGACTCAAGCAGTCCTCCTGCCTCTGCCTCCTAAAGTGCTGGGATTATAGGCGTGGGCCACCGTGCTCAGCCCAATGATTATCTTGAGTGTGCTATAACCAGGTCATTGCATTTTGGGATGGTAAGGGGGCTTGCTTGTGGAAGATGAGTCTATTTCTGGGAAATAAGAGAGCAGGAGTTGGCAGTCTGCTCTGTTGGAATGGCCTTCAGGCCTTGAGTTACGAGCCTAGAATTAAGCAAAGGGAGTCATGGGAGGGGAGGGGAGGGAAGTGGAGGGGAGGGAGAGCGGCTGCTCCATGAAGCCATGACTCTCGGAGCTGTGGTGCCGTGGCCCTGCAGGTATGACTTTATTTTCCCATCTCCATGTGTTTCCTTGGTAGAGTCGCCTATGAGGGAATTAACGTCTTCATTGCTGTTACCTGCAGGCTCTCATCAACCGTGGGGTTAACCTGGATCCCCTGGGCAAGTGGTCAAAGACTGGACTGGTGGTATATGATTCTTCAGTGCCCATTGGTAAGTTTCCCCTGCCCAGTAGGCCTTCTGCCCGTCCTCGTCCCAGCATGTCACAGCGTGGACCTCTCCCACAGGCGCTACTCCTGAGTACCTGGCTGGGCACTACATGCTGCAGGGAGCCTCCAGCATGCTGCCTGTCATGGCCTTGGCACCCCAGGAGCACGAGCGGATCCTGGACATGTGTTGTGCCCCTGGAGGAAAGACCAGCTACATAGGTATGGGAAGGGCAGGCGGGGGGGATTCATCTGGCTCTGCTCTCAAGGCGGGTGGGGCTGCTGACTCACTAGTGCTCACGGGACACGGTATACAAGCAGCTAGTGGGGTGGGGGAGCACCATTTCTGGAGTTGGCCTGGGTTCCAGTGCCGCATGTGCCACTGGAACTACCCATCCGACCTTGGGCAAGCTTCTGGTTCTCTTTTGTCATTCCCACATGGATTCGTAATTGCGCTCGGGTCATGAAGGTTGAGGTCATCCATTTAGGAGTCCTTGGCTCAGTGTTCAGCATATAACAGGCAGCTGTAACTATCGTATCGAGCTGCTGCTGTCTATAAGAAAGAATTCTGTCTGTAGGACCAGGAAGGTGTTTGGTAAAAGTGGAAAAGCCACACTGGCAGGCCTGGTGATTACCAGGGGCCAGTGCAGGCTGGGTCGACCTATGCAGCTGGCAGAGGGGCGCAGGGTATGCTGGGAATGGAGCTGCACTGAGGCAGTGAGACCTCACCCGGGACTTCCCTGGACTGGAGGGTGGGTTGCAAGTGTGAGGCAGTGGGCCGACTGGTCACGCGCTGGCCCGCCCTCCCTGCAGCCCAGCTGATGAAGAACACAGGTGTGATCCTTGCCAATGATGCCAATGCTGAGCGGCTCAAGAGTGTCGTGGGCAACTTGCACAGGCTGGGAGTCACCAACGCCATTATCAGCCACTACGATGGGCGCCAGTTCCCCAAGGTGGGACTCCCTCTGTGTTTCTTCCTGAGGCTTCTTCCAGCTTGTCTTTTCCTTTCTTGACTTCAGAATGCTTAGACTTACTGGCCCCTGGGAGATGAGCGTGGCACTCCAGGTTGCAGGGGACATCTGATTAACCTCCCCCTTTTCCCAGGTGGTGGGAGGCTTTGATCGAGTGCTGCTGGATGCTCCCTGCAGTGGCACTGGGGTCATCTCCAAGGACCCAGCTGTGAAGACGAACAAGGTGAGAAGCTGGGCAGTGTTACCAGCCCGAGGCCCTCGCTGTGCCTCCCGGGGCTGGAGAGCGGGTAGGGGCGTGCCCTGGCAGCCACTGGCTCGCCTCGCTTTCCCGAGGTTGCCTCGGGAGTTCTGACGCCGCCGGTCTCTCTCCGGGACAGGATGAGAAGGATATCCTGCGCTGTGCTCACCTCCAGAAGGAGTTGCTCCTGAGTGCCATTGACTCTGTCAGCGCCACCTCTAAGACGGGAGGCTACCTTGTCTACTGCACCTGCTCCATCATGGTGAGGCCTCTGCCACGCCACAGGGGAAGTGGGGCTGGGGGCTGTTTGCCCCTTAGAGCGCCCTTCAGCTCCGTCTCTTCCGTCTTTGTCTTTTTCACACATCCAGGTGGAGGAGAATGAGTGGGTGGTCGACTATGCCCTGAAAAAGAGGAATGTGCGGCTGGTGCCCACGGGCCTAGACTTTGGCCAGGAGGGATTCACCCGCTTTCGGGAAAGGCGCTTCCACCCCACTCTGCGTTCTGCCCGGCGCTTCTACCCTCACACTCACAATATGGATGGTTTCTTCATCGCCAAGTTCAAGAAGTTCTCCAATTCTATTCCCCAGCCTGAGACAGGTGAGTGGTGTGCTTTTTGTACCCTCCATCGCTTCTTTTGCTCTTTCTGCCTTTCGGGAGACTTTCTGGTGTGACAGAGGAAAGAGAAGGGAGGGGTCTGTACTTCCCTTGCCCCAGCCTGTGCCGGCTTGGGTGAAGAGCCCCCTTCATTCCAGCTGGAACTGTTCTGGGCCCCCCTCTGGGTAGGGTCAGGTGTTCTGTAGATGGGTTCTTTTCCTTTATTCTACCCAGTGGCTGCAGTGTTGAGCACTAGATGCTTTGCCAGTGCAGCTTGTGGTTTCTTCTTCTCGGCCCAGGGTTGACTTCTTGGCAGTGCACGTCTGCTGTCCGGCATGCTCAGCTTCAGGTTGGAGCGGAGCCTTGCAGAACTGTCAGCATGTTCTGAGCCGATTGCACTATGCAGATTGTTTTCTCAGCCTTCTTGAGTCTTTCCTGGTCTCAAGGGAAGGGTGGGGCTGTCTGAAACAGGCTCAAGAGTTCTGCATGCTGGGATCTAACCCTGGGTGTAGCTGGAAGAGGGAGAGAAGGGCTTCTTAGGAAATAGAATTGACTGTAACTTAAAAAGTACACATTTCATGTCGGCCCTTGTTGCCATTTTTCTAGCTTGTTTCTAGTTGTAGTGGGTGTGCCTTCTAATTTTTCTGGATTTGATGGAAATCCACATGGCAGGAGTGGGACTTCTCTGATTTAAAAAATACATACCATGCCTGAGCCTATGGGTTCGAGACCAGCCTGGGCAACTTGGTGAGACCTCATCTCTACAATAAATCAAAAAATGTAACTGGGTATGGTGGCTGTACCTGTAGTCCCAGGTACTTGGAAGGCTGAGGCGGAAGGATCACCTGAGCAGTGAGCATGCCACTGCACTCCAGCCGGGCGACAGAGTGAGACTGACTTAAAAAAAAAAAGCAAGAGCCAAGCTCGGTGGTTCAGCCTGTAATCCCGCCTTTGGGAGGCTGAGGTGAGTGGATTGCCTGAGCCCGCGGGTTCGAGACCTGCCTGGGCAACTTGGCGAGACTGCATCTCTACAATAAATAAAAAAATCAGCCGGGCGTGGTAGTGCGTGCCTGTAATTCCTG